TGGGAGCCGGATGCGCGCAGGCGCACAGCGCCGTCGCGCACACGCACACCACCCTTCACTCCGGCCCCCGCCCCGGCCGCGCTCTCTCTTGGGGTGGAGGTTGGGGGTGAGACGAAGCTTTAAACAGCTCCCCTCCCCGCCCCCGGCCGCGGGCGGTTGAGGGGGCGCAGGCTGGGGAGGACCCAGGGCCCTCAGCCCGCGGAGCTGCGACACTTGGGCAATACCTGGAAGGCCCAGCCGAGGAGTCCCCGGCCCCAGGCCCAGCGCGCGGAGGTGGCGTTCTGAGCCCCATGCGCTCTGCCGGGCACCAGGCGCCCTTGCGCGCAGGTTGGGCGGGCTCGGCGCCGGCGGAGCCACGAAGCCCGGCCGGTTATTAATTCACTTGCGCCCGGAATCCAGCACTACTCGCGCCGCGGTGAAGCCCAGCGGGGCCGCCCGCCCCACGCCCGAGCTCCGGCCGGTCTCCCCGAGCGGCACGGCCCCGCGGTGTGGACTGGGGCTTCCACCGCCCACGGCCGGCGGGCCTCCTCTGTTTCGGGGACCGGGTGTCCCAACTTCAAAGGCGAGCTCCCATCTCAAAGCACACCTCTCCCACCTCGGGAGGAGAGCCCCCTCCCGTCCAGGGGGAAACCCTCCCCAACCCACCCTGGAGCGCCCTTGCCCGCGGCCCAGAGCACACAGGAAATCTGTTCAGCGTGGCGTCCCAGGTCGCCCCCACTTGAGCCCGAGATTCGGCCCCTCGCGGCCTCTTGCCCCTCCGAGCCCCGGGGCCGCCCGCACCCGCGCCCAGACCCGCGCCCTGCGCGGGGAGAGCGCCCGTCTGCGCTTCGCCTCTCCCGAGTTAATATTAACCAGGGGCTCCTGCGTTCCAGAACTGCTCTGAAAGTTCCACTGGGGACGGTCTCGCCATGGTTGAGGGACTCGGGCGGCAGCAGCCTTAGAGAGGCACGGGAGGAGGAGGAGGACAGCGCCTGGCCACAGGCTCACGGTGGCCCTGCGGAATGGGGCCAGGGCGAGCAGGTCCCGCGGAGCCCAGACGTCCGACGCTCCTCACGCCCAACGCCGCCTGCCGCCCCCATCCCAGCCCGCTCCGCGGCCCCACCCACCCCC